CCTTATTTCAAATAGTTTCAAAAACCCGTAAATATATAAATTTGGAGAGAATAAACGTTCATACAGTGCTCAAGTAACATACCCAAGTACTTTCGGCGTATTATGCCTTCATCAGGGGTGTATTACATGTATAAAGTGCACACAATCGAGCACAAAATCAATATGGCATAAACTCGGTTAAATATATCTATAAAACTGTGTTTAAAAGAAAAAAATATATATAAACTGAAAAAAATAAAACTTCACATATAAGGGCGTTTTATGTTTTTATTACTTTAAGTATGATGTAAGAAAATGCAAGTTACAAACAGTATGATGTTATATGAAGTGGAAATTTACGATACGGTGAAAGTAAAAACGAAGCTCTCAGGCAAGGGAGAAATAGCCCTCCCCGACACCGCCTGATGACTAAAGTTAGGTTTTAAGTTTTTTTTTTTTAAGTTAAGTTTTTTTTAAGTTTTAAGCACTATTGAGTGTTGAGAATTGAGTACCGCTCAAGCCGGTGCTAGGGGGCGTGAGGGATGTTGCACTTATTCATTATCCCTCATGTACAGACTCAATAAAACCGAGTCTGCAATTCTTATGTAATTTTGTTGTGATTAATACTTCCGAGGGATCACTTTGTTTCCAGATTTTATACTTCACAACAGCAGGTGTCAAGTGCTGTGTGGCAGCTGTAAAAAGTTGCCCCGTACTTCACTTCAGTGTTGTTATATTTTTCTGGTCCTTCGGGATCATTGATGCCAGCACTATTGAGTGTTGAGAATTGAGTACCGCTCAAGCCGGTGCTAGGGGGCGTGAGGGATGTTGCACTTATTCATTATCCCTCATGTACAGACTCAATCAAACCGATTTTGCAATTCTTATGTAATTTTGTTGTGATAAATGCTTCCGAGGGATCACTTTGTTTCCAGATTTTTATACTTCACAACAGCAGGTGTCAAGTGCTGTGTGGCAGCTGTAAAAAGTTGCCCCGTACTTCACTTCAGTGTTGTTATATTTTTCTGGTCCTTCGGGATCATTGATGCCAACACTATTGAGTGTTGAGAATTGAGTACCGCTCAAGCCGGTGCTAGGGGGCGTGAGGGATGTTGCACTTATTCATTATCCCTCATGTACAGAATCAATCAAACCGAGTCTGCAATTCTTATGTAATTTTGTTGAGATTAATGCTTCCGAGGGATCACTTTGTTTCCAGATTTTTAAAGTTTGTCAAGAATGGGAGAGAATAAGTGTGTAAATTATTCTCCTTTATTGATTCCTGATGGCTCTAGCGTATTCAGTCGGCGAATCTATTATGTCTCGCGTGATTTCTGTGTTATATCCGACCACTTTGTTTTATGTTCAATACAACAGAGGGACACGTTTTTGAAACTGTGTCCCTCAAGGTGAAAATGTTCAGCAACTGGGGATCTGTTAAATTTTCGCGTTTTCCAGTCAGAGCGGTGTAAGTTCATTCGTTTATTTAATGGAAGTTTGGTTTCACCGACCTATTGTTTGTTACACACTTTGCAAGAAATAAGATATATAACGTTAGCCGTTTTACAATTCATTATGTCTTTGAGAGATGTTTTGGCCCCTATTTTTGAAGAGAATGTTTTTGTAAGGAACATGACAGCACAGGTTTGCAATTATTCATTATCTCTCATGTACAGACTCAATCCAACCGAGTCTGCAATTCTTATGTTATTTTGTTGTGATTAATGCTTCCGAGGGATCATTTTGTTTCCAGAATTTTTTACTTCACAACAGCAGGTGTCAAGTGCCGTGTGGCAGCCGTAAAAAGTTGCCCCGTACTTCACTTCAGTGTTGTTATATTTTCTGGTCCTTCGGGATCATTGATGCCAACACTATAAAGTGTTGAGAATTGAGTACCGCTGAAGCCGGTGCTAGGGGGCGTGAGGGATGTTGCACTTATTCATTATCTCTCATGTACAGACTCAATCCAACCGAGTCTGCAATTCTTATGTTATTTTGTTGTGATTAATGCTTCCGAGGGATCATTTTGTTTCCAGAATTTTTTGGCTTCTTGGTGTGCCACATGGTCCGGACTGACCTTTATCTGTCATTATTGGTCTCAGTTGGGCTCGAACAAGTTCGTCCCTGAGGCTTTTAGGTCTCCTATATGCAATGGTTAGTTTATTTGGGAACATCTTGTTAAGTTTCTGTGAAATAGATAAATACAGAATCCCTAAAGAAAGCCCAACACGGCAAAATTGAAAATGTTGCAGGCTCGGTTTGATTGAGCCTGTTCATGGACAGTACTGGAAAGTGCAAGTTACCGTCCACGCCCCCCTAGCACCGGCTTAAGCAGAATTCAACATTTAAACATGAAATAGTAAAATTTTGAATTTAGAAACATCCGCAGATGTGTTCATACGGCGGTTATCATGGAACCTTCAATGTGACACTTCCGTGCCATTCCATGAAAAGCGGCGTATGGTCCCCAAATAATAAAAAGCGTGTGCCCTAAACGAGAAAACAATGGGCGGAACTAAATAAAATGGAATTTTGAAAGGGGATCAGAGGTTATGAAGCCTACGTATCACAGATTAGACGTCAAAAGACAAATTTAAAAAGCAGGCAACATATCCTAAGGGTGATTCAATTATTGGCCAATGTTGTCAATGATGGCTCTAGTGTTAGGTAAGTCTGGGTGATATGTGAGCACAACTGGAATTTTATTTTGTGTAGAACCACTAGATTGATGTTTGTACTCTAGTAAAATATGATAAACAAGATCAACAAGGAAAGGCGGCGTTCAATGAACGCAACCCCCACATGACCCAGCAACAAGAACCAATGGCAAGGGGCCAAGGGGGACCCCAATCAAAAACAGGACAGGGCAAAGACAGAGCACGGACAGGTTAATCATTAAATGATAATTAATTTGTAACTGATAGGAATTCAAAGAAAATAAAAAAAGGCCCACAAAGGGGAAGGGGACAGGAGTCCGGGGGGAAGGGGTGGGGAGTAATCAAAGAAATAAAAACTAGAGGCAATGGGGAAGATACTTACCGTAGACGAGAAAACAACAAGGGACACAAGCAAAAGTGTCACCGAAACAGTATGAAACAACATAAGACATACATCTGAGGAACACAGTGGGGCGCCGCCTTGGAACGGTCAGCAGCATAATAATGACTGCTGGGGAGTTTAAACCGGTTAGTGCTGCACCAAACCTCGCTCTTAGCCCCACCATGTTCCTATAAACGAGGCAGTGTAAATAAAATGAATCGCCGCCAAGTGAAATTCTAACAGTTGTCATGGTTACAAAAGGTTAAATAAGTAAAAAATATGAAAAACAAGATCAACAAGGAAAGGCGGCGTTCAATGAACGCAACCCCCATATGACCCAGCAACAAGAACCAATGGCACGGAGCCCAGGCGGACCCCAAACATAAAAAGGACAGGTAAAACACTAAAATGATCATGTAGAAACATATAAAAGTAAACCCAATAACCATAACTAAAGTACTCAAATGTCCTAAAGGAAGACAGAGCAACAAGAAAATCACCTACAAGGGCCCGACGAAGCAAGGCAGAAGACGAACATTATTTGTTGTTATATTTTCTGGTCCTTCGGGATCATTGATGCCAACACTATAAAGTGTTGAGAATTGAGTACCGCTCAAGCCGGTGCTAGGGGGCGTGAGGGATGTTGCACTTATTCATTATCCCTCATGTACAGACTCAATCAAACCGAGTCTGCAATTCTTATGTTATTTTGTTGTGATTAATGCTTCCGAGGGATCACTTTGTTTCCAGAATTTTGAACTTCACAACAGCAGGTGTCAAGTGCCGTGTGGCAGCCGTAAAAAGTTGCCCCGTACTTCACTTCAGTGTTGTTATATTTTTCTGGTCCTTCGGGATCATTGATGCCAACACACTATAAAGTGTTGAGAATTGAAGTACCGCTCAAGCCGGTGCTAGGGGGCGTGAGGGATGTTGCACTTATTCATTATCCCTCATGTACAGACTCAATCAAACCGAGTCTGCAATTCTTATGTTATTTTGTTGTGATTAATGCTTCCGAGGGATCACTTTGTTTCCAGAATTTTAAGACAAATCAGTCTCAAAGGGCTTTACGAACTATCCACCATAGAGTCTCCCACTTGGTCCGTCAGATGCAATCAAAAGAGGAAAGCGTAGTGTCCAACTATAAAATGGAAGTCCTTCCTGTGCTTGCTGTCTGCACTTAAGATCGCGTCTGCAATGTCTTCTTCCTTGTATCATCGCTTCCTAAGATGTTCAGACAGTTCTTTTGCTCTGATATAGAACGTGCTGGGATTTGAACAGATTCGTTTGATTCTCAAAGCCAAACTGTATGGTATGTTCTTACAACAGTGTCGAGGGTGGCAGCTGCTTGGAAGAAGGTATTGGTGTTTATCAATAGTTTTTGAATACAATAGATAAATACAGAATTCCTAAAGAAAGCCCAACACGGCAAAATTGAAAATATTGCAGGCTCGGTTTGATTGAGCCTGTTCATGGACGGTTCTTGAAAGTGCAAATTACCGTCCACGCCCCCTAGCACCGGCTTAAGCAGAATTCAACATTTAAACATGACATAGTAAAATCAGTAATTATATGATTGTCTTTAATATGAGATACTGTGTCGAGAAAATCATGTTGTTCGTTTGATACCTATGTGGTGAACTTTATAGATTTGTGAAAAGTATTAGCTCTGTAAAGAAAATCTTGCAAAGATTCTTCCCCGTGACACCATTGCATGTCGATGTTATCTATATAGCGTAACCAACTGAATGGTTTAAGAATGGTTACGTTCATTGAACGCCGCATTTCCTTGTTGATCTTGTTTATCATATTTTAAGAGGTACTGCAGCTAGCAGTTGTCCTTCTAATTTGCCCATAAACACGTTGGCGTAAGATGGCGCCATTTTAGTCCCCATAGCCGTGCCCTGTACCTGTAGGAAATGTTTGTCACAGAAAACAAAGTTGTTGCATTTCAGAATAAGTACGAGAAGTTCGATCAGTGTTTATGTGGGAGGATTCTTTCTTATACGAGAATCCCATGCTTCTTTGCACGCTGCAATGCCATCTTCGTGGGGGATGTTAGTGTATAATGCAGTAACATCCATAGATTGCAAAAGCGTTTGGTCAGGTAAATCTTTCTGAGATTGTAATTTTCTTAGATAATCAGTGGTGTTCTGCAAATGAGAAGGCAAAGCGCATACAAATGGCCGAAGATGGTGGTCAACAAATTCTGAGATACGTTCTGTTTGGTGACCGTTGGCAGATACAATGGGGCAGCCTGGGATTCCTTCTTTGTGTATTTTAGGAAGAATGTAAAATCTACCAGCTTTAGGCTTAGGGACTATTAAGTAGTCTTTGTTTTTCTCAGAGATTTTTCCTTGTTTCAACATGTCTTCAACAACAGAGGATACTTTGTCTGCACATTTTAGTGTAGGATCATAATCTAATTGCTTGTAGAAGTTGGTTTCTTTGAACTGACGTTCGGCTTCTGAAATATAGTGGTCTATGTCCAAGATCTGAGCCCTAATCGGCAGGTTTAATAATAATATCAGTTCTGTTTTTGAATCTATTAAAATTATTTATCATTTAATGATTAACGTGTCGTTGCCCTGTCCTTTTTGTGTTTGGGGTCCGCCTGGGCTCCTTGCCATTGGTTCTTGTTGCTGGGTCATATGGGGGTTGCGTTCATTGAACGCCACCTTTCCTTGTTGATCTTGTTTTTCATATTTTGTTTCTGTGGTCTTATTCCTACTTGAATAATGTTGAATCACCCTTAGGATATGTTGCCTGCTTTTTAAATTTGTCTTTTGACGTCTTATCTGTGATACGCAGGCTTCATAACCTCTGATCCCCTTTCAAAATTCCATTTTATTAAGTTCCGCCCATTGTTTTCTCGTTTAGGGCACACGCTTTTTATTACTTGGGGACCATACGCCGCTTTTCATGGAATGGCACGGAAGTGTCACATTGAAGGTTCCATGATAACCGCCGTATGAACACATCTGCGGATGTTTCTAAATTCAAAATTTTACTATTTCATGTTTAAATGTTGAATTCTGCTTAAGCCGGTGCTAGGGGGCGTGGACGGTAGTTTGCAATTGACAGTACCGTCCATGAACAGGCTCAATCAAACCGAGCCTGCAACATTTTCAATTTTGCCGTGTTGGGCTTTCTTTTGGGATTCTATATTTATCTATTTTTTGAAAGATTATTGTAATATGACGATTTTGGTCGAAATGAATTGATATCGGTGTCAATGTTTTGAATAAACGTTTCTAAAGGAACAGACTGGCGTGGTTGTTTCCAAGTACTTTTCAGTTGAATATTTATGTTTTGAATGATTATTACAGCTAGATTTTTAATGAAAGAAGCAAAACTGAAGTTTCTCTTCTAGTTTATTATTAGTTTGTGGTAATTGTTGTTTACAAAACGTTTCAATTTTAATATCATGTAACAGTGGGAAAAGGAAAGAATAACACATTATTTTTAGCATCATTCATAATGCTTCAAAACAAACATGCCTTTAATAATCATCTAGAGGAAAACGCATTCTTTTCCACAGGGATCTATTCCGCTTTTTAAGGAAATCGAACGTACGTGTCACATGGAAGGTCTATGCAAATCACCGTATTAACACATCTGTAGATTTTTTATGTTTCAGCATTCAAAATTCTAAATGATAAATTATGCTTATTTTGGTGCTAGGGAAGGGAACAGTAAATTGCATTTCTTTGAGGTTTACAGAATTTACCATTTTAGTAATTTTAAAATGTTGGGAATTTTTGTTTTAAATCATGTTAAAATTAACAAAGCCACAACAATAAACATTTGCAAAATCCGTACTCATCTTTCTCGAACTTTATAGAATTACTTTATAACATAACCAAAGAGACATGCCGTATTGACGTCATGAATGAAAGCAAACAATTTTTTCGCAAAAAATGAATTAAAATTCATTGATACAAGCATATTACCCCTATTCATGTGTAAGATTTTAAATTATCTAAGCAGATAAGCAATAAAATTCAAAGCAAAGGCTTGAATCTTAGCTGTTTTAAGTCCAAAATATACATGCGTGTTGTCTATACAGTCTAACTTGCCCATGCGACCACGTGTATTAAGCGACTTTTGTCTTAAACGACCACTTTAAATTCCCCCCGATCATTTTCTGTCTATATCTTTAATGTATTAAGCGACTTTTGCTCAACGCGACCAGCGACCGCTAATTAGTCACCTAATTGACATCAATCTTTTCATTAAACGACCACTTTTACCTGTCAAGTAATTGAGTTTTTAGAGAACGCCACCTCGTTATGTCACAAGTGTCAGCAATCAAAACACACCAATAAACGTGTGAAAAACTCTATTTCCCAAACCGTTTTAGTGTATGCAAATGAAGTTAAGTATACGCGTGACGTGTATTATCCAATAATATCGGATTAAACAATGGCAACGCTCCGCCCATACTGAGATGGTGTATACGCTTCGCTTGTTTGACATTTAGACTGCATTGAATTGACCTTGAACTTGATCAGCCATTAAATTAATCGTAACAAATAGATGTAGTTTGTTTATTTCAAATGAAAAAATGCACAACAGAAAACATCTTCACTAAAGGGTTTTCGTGTTGGAGACAAGGAAAAACAACGAGAAGTTAAAAAATTCTGGAAAAAATGTCAAACATGTACGTAATGGATCAAAACTGTTTTGTCAATAAAATATCAGAACGTTATTTTTACTTTGAATCCGTTTTAGATTGTCGGAGCGTACTTATTATTCATTATTTATATAAAAATGAAGTTGAAAAACAATCCCATCGAATAAAAAAGATGTCATTTATAAATTTTGACTTTTATATCATGCTGACTGTCTTAAGAGACCGTTTCATTAAGCAACCGTTTTTGGTGTTTCCCTTGCCCGGTCGCTTAATACACGTTTGACTGTATATAAACATGAAACGTTTTTGGTGAGTTTTCTCTAAACAAAAAAAAAACAAAAAAAAACAAAAAAAAACAAAAAAAGAAAGAAAGAAAAAACAACAACAAGTTTAATAACGCTTTTCCTAGTTTATTTCAACATAGAATGTAAAAGACAATTAAAGCAAATCAACTTTAATGGGACATTTGTTTTATTGAAAATTTTAATGTTGAAGGCGTGGATATTTCCGTTCTTTTTGAGTCTAAACTAAATGTTTCAGCTTGTATTAGTTTTAATTCCACATCAGCTTCAACATGAAAATAGCTGAGGCTTGTAGGGAAATGTACGCAAAAACGCGCAATAAATAATAAGAACTGACTTCTTTTCATTTTAAGTTCAGAATATTTGGTTTCGAAATATAGACACCGATTACATGATTTTTTTTTTTATTTGCGTTATATGAGCAAATAAAACAGAAAAAAATAATCCCTAAAGAATGTAAAAAAACGACACAATTTAAAATGTTGCAGGCTCATAAGACATGTCAAGATTAAATAAAGGAAGACTTGATGAAATGCATTGTTTCCATAAAGTAAACAAGTTGTTATTTTTATACGCCTAATTTTACCATTTTCTCTAAAAGCAGACGATTGCTTTGTTATAAATGACCTAGTGCAGTATTGTAAAGAATAACGATACAGTCAAAGCAAAAATATTAGAATCTAGAATGCATATAAGGAAACCAAAACGTGTTTAATATATAAAATGCCGCAGTTAAGAACTAATCTGACATATGAAGACGCCATGACTTTTCTTTTAATTTCATTCAGAAAAGTGTTGTATGCCTTAAATGAAATATCTTCCGTCCCTCGAGTTTATTCATACTATATAATTATGAGAGTTAACCTTCAGAAGGTCCTTATTTATAAAACAGTTTATTCTCGTTGAATATTACAATACGTAAAAGTGTACCCAAAGCTAACCATGAACATTGTTTTGTCTGGCCTTATTTCTAGATATCCATAAATATTTGACTTTTTGACCTTAATCCTGTCATTAAATGCTAAAATATGGATATCTCAAGCAAGAACAGATAAAACTGTCGAGCAAAGATTATGTAAATTGGATAAGCTTAATTAATTTGACTAACAAATAATTCTCTCGGATGCTATCTCTCCTTATTGATTTTGGATGTAGTATCATTGTATAGAAATAATCAATATTGTTCTTTACTAGTGGATTTCGTAATGAATTGAAGTCTTTAGAAATAATTTTAAGCTGTTTTGAACCTGAAAATTTGACAAACTCTGTTTCAAAGCTTAAATATAATAATGTTGTGTAAAAATCTTGAAAAAGTAAACAGTATTCGAATGTTATATTCCATAAAGTACATTACTTATCATTATGTAAATAATATGGTATTTTTAATTCCATACCAAACGCACGAAAGAAACAAGTTGTCTTTTTGCCAGACAATAAAAATGAGTGTGATTATGCTGGGACATCGTCTCATGTCACCAAATCATATAGATAAATAAGAATCCCTAAAGAAAGCCCAACACGGCAAAAGCTGTTGCTGCTGAACTTTTCTTCATTTTGCGTTTTAGATTTATGAAAAGCTGTTTTATCAACGCTGCTATATGCAATGTATAAAACTAACACTTATCTTTATGTTAATAATATGGTATTTTTAATTCCATACCGAACGCTCGAAAGAATCAAAAACATATGATCAACAAGATCAACAAGGAAAGGCGGCATTCCATGAACGCAACACCCACATGACCCAGTAACCCGAACCAGTGGCAAGAAGCCCCGGTGGACCCCAAACAAAAAAAGAACAGGACAGGGCACAAGGCAGAGCACGGACAGGCTAATCACTAAAATGATAACTATTTGTAACTGATAAGGAATTCAAATGAACAAGTAAATGATTAAATAATATGAAATAATTTGTAACTGATAAGGAATTCTTACAAGTCCTCTGTTTGCCAGACTATAAAATGTTAATATAATATGCAATGTTTAAAAATAGAAACCCAATAGAATAAATTTTTTTTTTATAAAAAGTATAAATTTTTTTTTCAGGGGAAAATGATGCATTCAAAAAAATTCAATAAGTGGGAATGTTCTTAAACCCTTTTAAGATTATTTCATGATATTAAAATTTAATAGCGCCCTTTTTTAATTTCCTTTGGGGATTTTTATTGTAAACATTTTATTTTAGTATGCCCCCCTTTCATTACATCACTTTTCTGTAAATTTAGGATGTTAACCCAAATTATAAAAATAAAAAGGCAAAGCAAAAAACTTGAGGTTTTAATTTCCCCTTTAAAAAAAGCATCACATCTCATAATATATCTTGTCTTCGGGGAATCCCAGATTACTTTCTTTGTAAATCTATCAAAATCAACTTTAAGCATTGAAAGGACCGTTTCTAAGAAAAAGTTGCTTGTTAAACCTCTATTTGAATATATTTCATTCCAAATTCAAAAACTTTAATGCCTAATTCGGTTTAACGGTTTTTTTCTTTAATTGGGGACAAACGCCGCCTTTCATGGATCGGTCACTTACAGTGCACATTGAACGGTTCATGGTAACCTCTGTAGAACACATTTTGTAGATGTTTCTAAATTCAAAATTTCAACA